ACCGCGTGCCTTAACAAGGTGAATCTCTCATGCAATGGTGTCTTCCCGGAATGTATACATTTCACAAAATGTAAATGTATATTCCTCGAATGGCAAAAAAATATTAATTAAGTAAATGTTGTTTTAGTGAGGTGTTTAAGGTAAACGGAATGTACTTTACAAAAGCGAGATTGAAAAAAAATCTACATTTTTATAGAAAAATATGATAGTAAAAAACAACCGGAATCAAACCAATATAGACAACTTGAGTCCGTAGGGTATTTTTTTTCTCCAAATAAATATGCATCACAAACGAGACGATTTTAATTTTGAAATTATAAATTTCCCCCACCTTAGCAGCAATATACCAACTTCACCTGCATATGGGAAATACATTTCCCAACTCATTCGGTATTCAAGAGCTTAAAGCTGCTACTTAGTAACTAACTTAGACTTTATTAAACGTCACCAGTGTCTGAGCAGAAAGTTGATGAACCAGGGTTATATCAAAGAACGTCTCGTCCTTTTTCTAAAAAGTTCATCGGAAGATACCAAGACCTTGTTGATACATATTCCGTATCAACTTCACAAATAATACATGATGGTTTTGAAGTATAGATTCTAGGTACTGACATTGTTTATCATCTTAATTACATGTTACAGTGTTCTTTTTATTTGTCTTTGTATATCTTTAACTTTTACTGTTTAGTTCATTTTTGGTATGTACTTTTGGCGTGGCTAGGTATTTATACATCCCATCATTACATGTTATTATGATCTTTTTGGTGTTCTTGTCTTTCATTTTTGCTTATGTACTTTGTCTATAGAGTGTCTATATGCCATTTTGTTTTTCATTGTTGAAATAGTTATTTGTTTTTATAGTGATTAAGATTATAACACAATGTGGACATTTTTACCTATTATGTCTGTTTGTTTGGATCACATATTGTTGTCAATATAATGAAATTCTATATGACTGTCATACAAGTGAGAGGTTTAGCTAGCTATAAAACCAGGTTTAATCCACCATTTTCTACATAAGGAAATGCCTGTACCAAGCCAGGAATATGCCAGTTGTTTTCCATTCGTTTAATGTGTTTTAGCTTTTGAATTTGCCATTTGATAAGGGACTTTCCGTTTTGAATTTTCCTTAGTGTTCGGTATTTTCGTTATTTTGCTTATCACTAGATGATCTCGCTCGGGACATTACAGACAGGGTGATAATGGTAGATATCCGAGATCTTTAAGCAGAGAAAATATGACTCTTAATGTTTAGACGCTGAGACTAACAGCCAGTCAAGGTAGTTAAAAACCACTCTAGTAGTAGCACTGAGACTGTTTATCAGTAAAATTGACTCTGGCGTGCTGTATCAAATTATATATCCATAACGTGAGGGTACCCAAATTGCACCTATTTTGACAGTTTTTTCACCTACGTTTTTTTATGATCCAGACAAAAGTTTCCATTCTGTGTTTATTTTGTAGACGTATCCTTATTTACTATATAGTTACACCAATTCATTTTTGAATTCATATTGAATCATAGAAAAATGGGTTTGAACCGACCCCCAAACGATCCATGATTCTGTAATGAGGAGTACCCAAATTGCATCCATGCTTAAATTTATATCCTTAAAAATCGAATATCAGATGTTTTGTTTTATTTCTTCAAATATTTAGAACAATTTGACATTAGTCCATGCTTACTATTCATTTTTTAAGAAATGGATGCTTGTAACATATTTTATTTGCTCATTTTTAAAAGATGACTTTTTGTGACCGTCGCATGGCGACGTTTCCGTAGATTTTACTTTTTCCAGCGAATGCTTCATCTGTTGATACATTGTAAACGTTTTGTGTAAATTTAAATATATTTACCTATGTTGAAAGACGTATATAATGTTAAATCATGAAAATACAAATTTTTTAGCCTCAAAGAAAACTTAAAAGATTTCCGCAGCTGTTTTTGTTGAATAGGTGCAATCTGGGTACTCGGTGCAATTTGGGTACTGTGACGTTATGCAAATTATTAAGTGATTATTTCTGTAAAAGCCTACAAAATTAATTTCTTTAAATATTTGTTAATAGTTCATAAAATATTAAATGTAGCGACAGAGACTGACAGTGATGGAAACATGCCCTCGAGATAGAAACAGTAGTCAATATGGCAGACTTTACACAACCTTGTTTTCACATCTGATCATTACTTTAGGCAACACACCCAGCAATTTATGAATTTTAAATGTTAAGTAATGCCAAAATCAAACATTTTATATAACACGACATAATATCTTGATTTTCATTGTCAGATTATATTTCCAACGCTTTATATATCAGATATCAGATGCATAAAATAAATAATGAAACGTGTAATGACTCGACCTTTTGAATTTATGCATTCAAAATATCTTACGTCCGGCATGCAAAACACAAGTGACCAACATCAAATCAAAATTGTGCTACATCCAATAAAACATCGAAATACGGGTGTTTGTATTGATCCGTAACGTAAAAGCCTAATTTTTTGTTACATTTCTTAAAACGTGAATGTTCAAAATTAAGGGAAAAATAGGTGATTGCGTGCCTTTTTAAAGTGCATGTTGAAATACCAATTTGCAACCATTATTCAGTCAGTGCAAATTTTTCACGATTTATTATTTTGACTGTTTTATTAATAAATCGTTTGCGTATGTAAGTGTCTGCAGCGATTAATTTCACACAAAAAACTTACGAGAAAAAATACTCTAAAGTCATGAACATTTTAGTATACATTACGATCAATTTCTGTCGTAAGATTTTTTGTGAAAAGAGCCCCGATCAATGAAATAATATTAACTGGTAATACATCTACAACTGTTGTCACAAAGAATATATCATATGCTTTGTCCTTTTTCAATTTGCATTTTACCTTGTGTAGAAAAAAATCAAACTTAATGTTCATGCAAATCATTTATCAATTTTGCTTACAACTATGTACAATTTAGATAAAATCATGTAAAAATGGCTTATCTATCAACTGTCACTGAGTTGAATGAAACGAAAAATAAGTTGAAGCATTAAATCCCACTATTCATCATTTATATACACTCAGTCGAACACTATTATCCATAAAACTGTTTAATCCCAATTAGTATTCTAAATTTATTTTTCACATTTGATCTAATAGAAAATAGACGACATTTGTAAAATCTATTAATTTAACGAAATCATTGTGTAATTAATTACAAGATAGTGTACATTACGCATAAACATGACGGCTACATCGACTTGCATATACAAACAGACAAATAATCGGTAAAGCATGAAACCCAAACGGTAGGAGAACATGTATGTTGTTGCAACTTACAATATTTAATTTGAAATGTCTAGAATCACTATTTTGAATGCCTTGTTGAAGAACCAACAATGCCTATGATAACCCCACTTCATGATGTATCTACATTTCTTTATCATGATTTAAGTTATGCAAACAACTTGCAAAATTGTCATCAGTACCTCAGTTACATTCGGGCACAGAGCAGCTTAAAATTGGTTGGATTTATACTGATTTGAAAACAAACACTATATCATTTTAGAATGAACTAACCACAACGGTAAAAAGCAGGGTTAAATAGAGTTACTTTTATAAATTTTGACTTGGATGGAGAGTTGTCTCATTGGCACTCATACCACATCTTCTTATATCTATCTACCTAGCATTTTCTGGTTGCGCTATCGTGTTTATTCTTTAAAGACTACAATGTATGTAACACTTAAATCATTCTCATTTATCATATACCACAGGGTGTTTGTACGTTGGAAAACCTTGCAACAACTTGCAACAACTTTCTGAGAAGTCCGTAGATAGACTGTTGCAAGGCAAAATTTCTGCTCCTATCAATCATACCCTCATTTTCAGGGCATTACAAATTTCTCACCCTTTATCCCGATCGAACTACTTTGCAGAACATACCTTTCGTTTTAATTGTTAATTTGCCTTTGTCCTGAATATGCATGAAATATTTGCCACTGGACGTTAGCAAGCAACAATCAATCAATAGTTTATTATATATATATCGTATTAACCGTAGGGCCAATTTCACCAAATTTACTTTACACCATGGCATATTTTTTTTAAATTAATTTCCTCAATAATGAACGTCTAATAACGAATCGGAAAATGCAGTTTTGAAGAATTTTGGCAAATTACGTGTATTTGTAAAATAAATGATAGTGTCATTCTTAACTCAAACCGAAATTCTATAGAAAGTAAAGGTATGTAAACTCATTTTGGTTAACACTGTCATCATTTCTTAATATTTGCAATATCGTTTTAAAATTGGTTTTTGTCCTGAACATGCATGAATTAGTTGATGCTGGATGTTAAAGTACTAACAATCAATCAAAATTGATTTCAGCAGTAATGCGTGGCTTTGACATTATTGAACAAATCTTATAAAATTGTTGAAAAACCCTTTAACTTGTTTATTATTTTAACTATGCGATATTCATACAACAATTATCGTTCCGATCCAATGAATAAAACAAACACAGGGGAAATTGGCATACCCCTTTGTGCATCTTATATATTTAACATTGAAATAATATGACATCTCGATCTGTGCAGAATTTAAATCCGAAGTTAAAGAAAATCCCCTGTTACTAGTATATATTTTTTTTTTCTTTCTCTTTTTCTTTTTCAACATCTACATAACATCTATAAGAGATTTAAATGAGTACGAATGTATTTAATGCTTGCCGATGCTTGAAAATTTAGTGCTCTTTTAGGAGTCTTGTGATTGTTTACAAAATTCCCCATCGACATAATTCAAATCTGTTTTACGCTGAAATCAGATGGCTAATCCTTGCTTTTTACACTGTGATCTGAGCAAATATATCTTTTTAATGATTTGTTCAACACGCTTCTAAAATAAAATGTCATTAATAATGCAAGTGAATTGAGTCTGAACTTCTCATTTACAAGCAGATTATCTAACTTCTTTTCTCAAAATCAATAAACGGTATAGGTTTACCAAAATTGTTACTTAAACCGAAGAATGAGTGGATATAGTAGTGTATGTTCTGAGAAAATGTGTCCTCAATTGGACGAAAATGTGAAGAAAAAATTAACAAGGATATCAAATGAATCGGAGATTTTGGGGAAAATGATTGAGCTTTCCGGTAAGTCGTGTATGTTAGGAAAAATGAATAGTACAGGTCATTGCTTGACCCTTTCTTGCAAATTGGATTTAATTCATATAAAATTACAGAAATTTTACAAAATTTTTCCATAGTTTTCACTGTGAAATAATTTAAGAAGGTGTGTTATGATTGCCAATGTATGTTTTAACCATCATGAACATTTATATGATACCGATTTCAAGCAATATGACACGTGCTTTATAAGAAATGAATATTAACAAAAGGATGCGAATATTAGAATCATACACTTTTTTCGGATAAGTAAAAATAAAATTCTATATGTATGCTAACACATACTGCTTTAATTTAATTCGTAAGGTTTAAGACAAAAGAGAACTTTCATTCTTTACATCAAATAAGATTTTAAAATGATATATGTTTTTTACAGAATAGTCAATAATAGCTCAAAAGTCTCCAGTTAAGGTGCATTTAAAAAACATATGATACAAAGTATATTTACATATGGGGAGTTTATAAACCCATAAAATAAAAGAAAAGTTAAGATTGAGCAAAACGAAGCCAACCAAAACTGGGAGTGAATTTTGCTCCGAAAACGTAAGCGATTCCTGCGAAGGTAGTGACACTAGCCGTTTTACTCATAATATAATATGATAATTAAAAGTCATAATGGACGAAAAAGCATTATACAATAGTGATTTGATAAATATCTCTTAACAATATAATTTTATAAACTAAAGTACATGCTAGTTCTCCAACCCTAAAAACGACAAGACGTGAAAGCATGAAACGAAGATATGAGTAGTATTTTTGGACCAAATAAACTCAAGATTATAATCAAAATAAACAACAGAGATATTGAAAATAAGAATATTACGAAAAATCACAAGTATATACATCAGCAGGGTAAGCAATGTCTGGTCATTTACTGGCACCTGTCTTTTTGTCTGTGAAAAGTAAATTGTTAAAGCGTAATCTGTGAAATGTTCATGAACGAGAAAGGGAGGACGGAATTGTGGCTATATCTAATGGAACATGTATGTGATCATCATTAATCGGATGTTCCCTAACTTTAAATCAAGTTATGGTTTCGACACTACAACTTCCGAAGAGACCACTTCACCTTTGTCATTGAGAAACATTCATTAAATATGTTCCTTGTAAGCAGCAACCCTCTCTATCTATGAGTCTATTAAAATTTTAACAGGAATTTAAATATTTGGAATACCGAATCAAAGTCATAATACCTCTGGAACTAACAAAGACACAGATTTGTACTGTTAGATTAAGGTTGATTAATTGATTGCTTGTTAAACGTCTAGTGGCAAATATTTCACGCATTTTCAGGAAAAGAACAAACTTACAATTAATTCGAAAAGGTAGCTGCTGCATTGTAGGTAGACCGGTACGAAGGGAATGAATTTGGAATGCCACTAGAAAATGAGGGTTTGTTAGATATGGACCGAAATGTTACCTTGCAACGAGGCATCACATGTAACGTCTCCATTCCGACTGGACGTGCCTGTGTATTTATGCAAGTCGCACACCAAACGGTAGGCCCACTTTAGCAAGGATTTTACTGCTTGACTGGAGAAATCCATGGATGACCATATTTTCATACCCCAGTTACATCTAGAGGTTAAGAAGAAAGGCATATGTTTATAGCCTTCATCGTACAATAACTGTTAACTTATGTCAAGTAGTCATTCAACAACCACAAATAAACAACCCTTAATAACTAGCAAGAGGAGTTGATGGCTGTATAAGTATACAGGGAACAATTTTACTTATTGCTACAGTTTATTGTTTCTGTATGTGGCAATACAATTTTTCAATACATCACTATCGCACTTTAAAACTTGTACAACCTTACTTCAGTCCCAATTTAAGTGTATGTTACGTTGACTTTTGCTCGCAAAATGAAGTTTAATTATCTCTGAAGCGTCAATCAAAGATCAAATTGTATGTACAGATACTTTTGAGGGTAAACGTGTGATAGTTCATGGTTTATTCGGTAGACCTATGTCTTTAGGTAGAACAACTGTTTCAATCGGAATATCACTATTGACCAGTATTTATATATAAGCATAAATGCTAAAAAGATGCATGCTAGAATATGTCTGTTTCGTTTTATATAGGTATATAGATTAATATTGACAGTCAATTATTTTGCGAGGATATGTTTTTTTTTTAAAGAGGGGCATTTTAAACTCAGTAAGTATTATGTGACACCTTTATCATATCGGTTTTTTCTTTAAAATAAATGATCTTATAATCTGGCAATTCTAAGTATACCTACAAATATTAAGCTAGGGAAACTTCAAGCTAATATAATTACATTACATGTATGTTTCATTATAATACGTTATTTTGATTGGCTAACAGCAATACCGCATCATTATGAAATTAACCTTCATTTCAAAATGAATTGTAACATTCATGATGACACGAGCTTCCACAATAACAGGTAAATAAAAGAAAAACTTGATAGAAATCGTGGTTTCATGATCCTAGCAAAAAATGTAATTATATGTATTGAATGCTTCTTTTAGTAATTGTATAGGGTTGTAAAAGCGTTGACCGTGCGCACATTTTTAGAATGAAGCGCTTCTGCTCTTCATACAAAATGTTCTTCGGTCGACGCTTTTACACCCCAATAAATTTACAAAAAGAAGCTTTCAATTTTTAAATAATTACATTACATGTATGTTTCATTATAATACGTTATTTTGATTGGGTAACATCAATATCGCGTCATTCTGAAATTAACCTTCATTTCAAAATGAAATGTAACATTCATGATGACACGAGCTTCCACAATAAAGTGCACAGGTAAATAAAAGAAAAACTTGATAGAAACCGTGTTTTCATGATCCTAGAAAAAAAATATGATTATAAGTATTGCATGCTTCGTTTAGTAATTTAGGGTTGTAAAAGCGTTGACCGTGCGCACATTTAAAAAAAATACAAAATGTACTTCGGTCAACGCTTTTACACTCCAATAAATTTACAAAAAGAAGCATTCAACTCTTAAGTGAAGCAAAAAGTACAATAAGTGTTCAACAATGCTTTTTGATACCAAAGGCTGTGTAAAAGTTTTGTTGAAATCAAGTTCGAAGTTTAGTATAAATTGTCCGATACAAGATGCCAATACCCCTTGTAGATGAAAATAACATGACTTTGTGTAAACACATAGAAACGTTATGAGCAAGTATAAAAGATGTCACAACGTTTCTATTTTGTTGTGTTTCATTAAAATCCAGCAACTGATGAAAGAATAAGTTGCTAGGTAAAATGGGAAAGAACAAACGGATGATCTGAGATGAGAAGACAATGTTCCATATCCTTCTTTTTTATAATTCAATTAGCCTGTAAAGCGTGTGAATAATAGTTTCCGGATATATTGATGTGAGCCACAGATATTCATTGATATTTGTTCCTTTAATGCCGTTGTACTAATTTGTCTTGAAAAACCCCACTTAAATACATATTAATCATGCGGAACAGGAATTTCTAACTCTTGTCGAGAATAGATCTTTATTACAGGGGTTAATAGTGTTACTTTTTTGTTCTATTTTTTGTTCTTGCTTTTTCTTTTTTTAAATGTAGATATATTTCTTGTGTTGTTGATGAAGTCTTATTTTTTCTTTCTGTCTACTATACTTTATTTGTTGTCTTCTTTGATTTACGGTTTCTAATAGCCTCCTTATAAGCAAAACTTGCGCAAAGGATCTGTATTTTGATCAGATTGCTTTGATATTTCGTTAATTGTGTCCTACATGTCAGTCAAGGTCCAGCTTTTAAAGATAACTTTAACCCGAAAATATGGGCTAGTTTCCGTTGTATATAATTTAGATGAAGCAAAACTACTTGTTTGACCTCTTACATCTTTGTTTCTATAGCTATAGTGGCCTCTTACCAAATGTAAATATGGTTGATTTTAACAAAATACTTAACTTTTTACTATTGAAGTGAGTAATGAAATTTGGAACAAAAAAGGCCAACAATGTCATTCGTATGTATTTTACTGGCATTCAAAGTATTCAAAAACAATTCATTCAGTTAAATCTTTATTGAAATCAAATAGTTCACTTCACTACTGTTTAATACTAATATATCTACCCTAAAATTATAAAATCAAACCTAATATAGGTACTCGAGGGACATTTATTGTGTGAAAACCAATAACCAAAGATGATCTATCAAATAGACTTTGATTAAGGAATAGAAAAAAATTAATAAAAATGGGATATAATAAAGTGAATACGGATTACAATTTTTCATATAAACTGATCACTCATTTCATACGCAAATTATGGTGTCAAGGGTCTTTTAATGATGTAAGAAAATAATATTTTAGATTTTGCAATATTCACAGGTGGAATGGGTTGTTCTGGGTCTACAGGACCACAGCCTGGACTCACAGACAGTCACAAGACTACAGTTAAAAAGTCATGGGCCAATTTTGTCAAGAAGGGAGATTTGACAGACCTAGGAATGCCAATGTTTATAAAGTAAGTTAGGAATGGTATAGATGGGTTGCTTTTATAGGAAATTTGTATACAGTTTGTAGTGTTAAACCTTTTTTTCATGAAAATAGAAGAAAAAAATGTTGTTTCCTTTCGGTAAAATGCAATAAGTATATTATATTCAACTTAAATAAAGTTTTCTGAAATGCGTCAATAACAATAAAGATACACCAACCAACAAAAGAACCTCACGTAAATATGGCCCCCTTTAGGTAAAACAGCAAGTATTCAAGCTTGCGATAACAAGAAAATATGCATCGAAAGAAAAATTGAAAGTATAGTCCACTATATAAAGAAATAAAGAAATAAATACGAGAACATTTAGAATATAATTGTTTTTCTAGATAAGTTTTGCTGTCACGATTCATGTTATCAGTACACTGACAGGTTATTGCCTTCACAAAGGTATTAATTTCAGTAGTTTATAAAATATTTATACTGGTACCATGATATTTGACAGTTTATCTCGCTCACATCAACCATGTAATTGATACCACGAATTGAAAACAAATCAGTAGAACACAATAATATATTAGAAGCAAAAGAGAAAAATATTCAGCTTCACGCAGTAAACAGGCAATCGAAATGAATTTTGTCTGCTTTCGGATTGAACCGTGAGAGTTATCTGTATTTCAGTGATATATATATTTTTATAAACGCTTATTAATCAAGTAAGCCATTTATTGGAATAAATATAGTTCCGTACAACTTTAATTTCTTTTCTTTATTTGAGTCTCTTCTTTAAATAAAAGAAATGACTATTCTAATTGAGTAGTATCATAATGATTTTAATGTTGATTTTGTGTTTAATTTATGTTGCAACTAATTCTGTCATAGTACATGGACAGGAACGTAATCTGTGAGAGTACTTACGAATGGTGTTACATTAAAATTCCATATATCGGTAATCAAAACGACTACAAAAAGCCGAGAAAACTCAAACATTCAATCAATACTTTTAAAAATTTATTTGTCAATAAAAATAAAAGCAGTAAATGGTCGTAAATGATATCAAATTCTCCGAAATAGTTAACATACTTGCGCAAGGTGTAAAAAAGTAAAAAGGAAACCAGCTTGCCATGAACATACAGACCTTTGGTTACGTTTGCTGTAAAAAATGTTTTCGTGTAGTGTTATGAGCTCACATCATGCCCGTTGGTTCTCTTTTGAATGGTTTCAAATGTTTTATTAAGTTTTTTTTATAGTTTACTTTACGGTATTGGTATTACTCAGTGTTGAAGGCAGTACGGTGACTGTGAGTAACTGAATCCTTTCTCATATAGTTGTCTTTTTTGCAATCATACCAAATCTCATTATTTTCTTAGTGATAAATGGTATGGACACTTATCACAAAGGAAGACCTGTAATGCTATTTTTCTTTTGTGTTTTATTTGGTTGCTACACAATTGACTTATTTCCAACATTCGCCCTAGTTTTGTTGGTTTTCCTGTTTAGATTGTTTTACACTAGTCATTTTGGGGCCCTTTATAGCTTGCTGTTCGGTGTGAGCCAAGGCTCCGTGTTAAAGGCCGTACTTTGACCTATAATTGTTAACTTTTTATACATCGTGACTTGGATGGAGAGTTGTCTCATTGGCACTCATTCCACATCTTCTTATTTATATTAATGTGTTTTTCTAATGTATTCCATTTATTTGATTTGCCAATCGTTTGCCGTCTACCGTCAATGAAATAAATATATATTCTGTCAAAATCAATAAACTTTAACTTTAAAATTTTTGTTTTGTTTTGTTTTGTTTGATTGTTTTTGAGTGAATCCCTCGGTGAGTTTTGGTAGCTTCTATGGCACAAGGATAAAAGTTACGCTGAAACGGTTAAAAATATGTTTCTACGCGACAAAAATAGTGCATTATATACGGAAGAGTTAACATACTTGCGCAAGGTTGTAACAAAGTAAAAATTTTGACTTTTTGATCGACAATATATTCTATATGAATATGAGTTTTTTTTAAGGTTCATGATTAGACTATGTTGATAGACATTGTCATGACAGTGTCAAAAGTAAAAAAAGTAATAAAGAATCGAAATGGATTTTGGTTTACTCTGGTCACCTTACATATATATTGTGTGTGAGTACCTCTGGTCACCTTACACAGATACTGACATTAGTTCATCATGGTCACCCAACTCAGATATTGACTTCAGTTTTCTCTGGTCACCTTACACAGATATTTAATTTGATGCCCTCTGTTCTCTTGACACAGATGTTGACTGGTGACACATATATTGACTTTGGTTACCTCAGGTCAACTTACACAGATATTGACTATGGTTACCTCTAATCATCTTACACTGATGTTCTAATCTAATCACTTTATATTAGAACCACACTGATTCTATCAGAAAATACACTGAAGATCACTGAAGATGATATTATCAAAATGCTGGACTTTTTGATCGACAATATATTTATTGAGTTTGGAGGATTGATATTTCAACAGACAGTCGGTATGCCAATGGGTACTAATTGTGCGCCACTACTGACCAATTTGTTTTTGTACTCATATGAAGCAAAATTCATTCAGAACTTTCTAAAAGACAAAAAGTACCTTGCGAAATTCTTTAATTTTACTTTTAGATATATTGATGATGTCCTTTATCACTGAATAACCCATATTTCAATCAATAATTTCATCTCATATATCCCAGTGAACTTGAAATTAAGGATACTACTGACACTAGAAGGACTGCTTCATACCTTGGTCTTTTACTCAATATTGACATAGATGGACTTCACACTAAAATCTATGATAAACGGGATGATTTCAACTTCCCTATTATCAATTTCCCATTTCTCAGCAGTAACATGCCCCATCGTATGGTGTTTACATATCTCAATTGATACGTTATGCTCGTGCATGTTCACACTATACTGAATTCATATACAGGAGTGTGCTCGTTACGCAAAAACTGCTCCAACAGAGTTATGAGGAGGAAAGATTAAAAATGACACTGCGTAAATTTTATGGACACCATCACGAATTGGTTGATCTATACGATGTGTCTGTGTTTAAACTAATTAACGACATTTTTACCACGTCTTAGATTGTGGTTTACCATCTACGTTGTCTGGTCTGCTAAGTACCGAACGTGACCTATTCTCGAATATGACTGTTTTGCCGAGTGGGAATTCTCATTGCTATACGAGTATCTCGGTATGTATACATCCAACATTCATGTATTTAGTTATGATGTTTCTTTTGTCTGGTTGGATATTGTGTTATGTCTTATCGTTTGTGGTATAAATTCTGTATTTTCGGTACATTTCACATATGTCTTATTTGTCAGTATAGTCGAGTTACTCGTTGTTCGTCTACAGTGTTTTTGTTTTATGTTGTTTGTTTTCAAGTGTGTTTACTGTTTGGTCTTACATCATCTTGCCTTATATTACAGTTATTTTATTTTTATTTTCTATGTAAAAGTTAAGATAATAAATCAGCTATATCATTTATATGATTTTAAGTTTAAAGCTACTATATGCACAGGATTTTTTGTTTATACACGGTTTTTGATTTATAAGAAAAACCGACATGGTTAGAAAATACAAATAATAACACCATTACAAACACAATTCCATTTTAATATTCTTGTCATGGTTAGAAAATACATAAAATAACACCATTACAAACTCAATCCCAATTTTATATTCTTGTACGTGTCTACAATAAAACAAATCTATTCTATTTTTAGAAATTTATCTGTGATAACATAAACGTCACAAAAATACGTCACTTTTTGTGGCGTTGGTACATTCGTGTGACGTGCAGTTTATACTTCGTTTGTGGTGTACTGGTGTACTGTCGTAAGGTCATGGGACATGTTTGTTGTTATTCTATGGTTTACATGTTGTAATGTAATATTATATTATTTATTTATGTATTTCTCTGTAACGTTGTCATTTTAGCGGTATTTTTAACATTGCCATATAAGCGGGAGGTTTGGCTAGCCATAAAACCAGGTTCAACCCACCATTTTTTTCTTATAATGTCCTGTACCAAGTCAGGAATATGGCAGTTGTTATCGAATAGTCCGTTTCTATGTATGTTGGCGTTTGTTTTTGTTGCAGTTCAGTGTTTCTTTGTTTTCCTCTTGATGTGTTTCCCTCGGTTTTAGTCTGTAACCCGGATTTGTTTTCGCTTAATCGAATTATGATTATTGAACAGCGGTATACTACTGTTGCCTTTATTTACACATATATTTAATTTTGTAACTTCTGGTCACCTTACACAGATATTGGCTTTGGTTACATCTAGTCACTTGACACATATAATGACTTTGGTTACCTCCGGTCACCTTACACAGATTTGGTCCCTTTGTTCTCTTTACACAAATATCGACTGTTGTTCCCTTTGTTCTCTTTACACAAATATCGACTTTGTTCCCTTTGTTCTCTTTAGACAAATATTGACCTTGGTTACCTCTGGTCACCTTACACAGATATGGACTATTGTTATATCTGATTACCTTTCACTGATGGTCTTGTCACCTTACACGTATATTTAATTTGGTTACCTCTGGTCACCTTGCACGGATATTGACAATGTTTACCTCTGGTCACCTTACAATGATGCTCTGATCACATTACACAATTATTCAATTTTGTTACCTCTGGTCACCTAACACATATATTGACGTTGGTTACCTCAGATCATATCACACAGATATTCATTTTGGTTACATCTGGTCACATAACACCGATATTCACTTTGGTTAATTCTGGTAACCTTACACATATAATGACTTGAATTAACTCTGGTCACCTTGCACAGATATTGACTGTGGTAACCTTTGGTCATCTTACTAACACATTAGTTAACTTTAGTTACACAATATCACTTAGCACATATATTGATTTTTTACCTCTATATCTGGTCACCTAACACTGATGTACTGATCACTTGGCACAGATATCACCTTAAACAGATTTGGTTCCCTTTTTTCTCTTTACACAAATGTTGACTTTGA